AAACCAGGGGCATAGTTTCTCCGTCGCTGCCCTGGAAAACCCACCATCGACTGGGGAACGATTCTTCACTTGAATCAACATCATCAACACTTCCTGCTCCTCTTGTTCACCCCTCGTTGTCTCCCCACCGACTGGCCTGCTGTTGGATCTCTTCTTAAACATCGGGATCAACAAATCGGCTCCATACTGGTTACGGGGGAAAATACCTGCAGCTTGACGCCCCAGCAAAAACCAAAGCGTGTCCTCATTCGGCTCAAGCTGCAACTGCACAAAGTGGGTGAACCCCATGTACCAACCCTCCCACTTCGAGCACCACTTGTTGAATTCTGGTCTCAAATTCTCCTTGCTGATCATCCGCTTGAGATATATCGGCAGCTTTTTCTTGCCTTGTAGCACCTTCAAGAATTGCTGCACCGGTACAAATTGCCCGATCGTATGGTAGCACTGGGAAAAATCTTTGTCCCCCATAACACACTTGTCCATCGCTAGAAGCAGCAGAATGCGAGCAACCATCTCGCCAATTTCGCCAACTCCACCAGTGTCCAACGCTTCATCCAAAAGGAGGTTCTTGAGTTGCGGCAGGATATACTTTGCCAGACCATGTTTCAGTTCATACCACACTTTCATCGCTCCTAAGGCGAGCACTGGGTCCGAAGCGTAGCTGGTGACGTAACCTTCTCGCTTGAAATTCACATACGCGAGAATCGCCATGAAGTCGGCAGTCGCCCGAGATGCCAGAGCCGACGTTGAATGCGGGCGCACGCCCAGTCGGCAAAGCATGGAGGCGACACCAAGCATGGTATCCTTGTTGTACGCATTTTGCGAAGGGGGAATCCCCAGTAGCAGCTTGTTCGCCGCAAGATTGATCACATCTTCTCTATCCGCAGGATTGGGGCAAGTGCTGTACCACATCGGACGCCCCATGCGGCACAACGCGTGCCAAGCTTGACTCGCATCCCCGGTAACGATTCTCTTGTACATAGCTATCTTAGCACGTTCTTGCTGTTTCTTCTTCTCTTCGTCGTTTTCAGCTCCCACCGCAACCTGAGTTTCCTCTTCCATTTCTTCATCTTCTGCTCCCACATCTAGTATTTCCTCTTTCATTTCTTCATCTACATCTTGGATGTCCTCTTTCATTTCTTCATCTTCGCCGGCTTGTTTTTCTTCACAGTATTGATCCCAGTGTGCGTCCATTGTCTCAGCTAACACAACTGGCGCAAACGATGCCAACTCTCCATCGAAAAGCCGAGATGATGGGTCCAACAACAGCGGAGGCGCCAGGTCCGAGATCCTGGAGTTCGTATCAATCAGCACGCCGAAAATGCATCCACGATGGCCGATATCTTTGTTCACGGATCTGAGAGCATTTCGCAACATTCGGAAGTCATTCTTCTTGCCTCCCTTCTCAGCCAGCAGACTTCTCGCTTCATCGATCACCAGAACCACGATTCTGCCATTTGGATTCTTCTCGGTGGAGGTATCCCCCTCCAGCGTATCTGTTTCATCCGAAAGTTTCGCCTTTACAGAGGTGTCCGCTGCCTTTTCGGTAAACAGCTTCAGCCATTCCTTCTGAACGTCCGCCCAATGCTTGTTCGCGTAGACGTAAATTGTCTTCAATCGACTGGCGATGTCTTCCACTTCGGAGCCTTCTTGAAACAGCCAACCACGAAGCTCGCTCGTAGCCTTGGGAAACCCCGTCGACTCGTGCACACGAGCACACATGTACAGGACTTTCATGTTCAAGGCGCTCTTTTGAGCCTCGATCGCGAGCTCACGCATCGTCCGACTCTTGCCGAAGCCAGAACTCTGCACGACCGCCACACATGGCGCCTTGTACTTTGTGGGGGTGTAGGCCTTCCAGCAGTCCCGCAGATACTGTGCGAGGTCGAGGTGGGCTTCGCCGAGGTACCGGCCCTTGGTGAACGCCTCCGCGATTCGCTTCATTTCATTTTCATCCAACTTGGGCGTGCCGGAGCGGGCTTCAGGGACAAACTTTGCCAGGAGGTCTTTCACCGTCTTGGCCGCAATAGTTTGTGCAAGAGGTCGAGACACGCGTGTATGCCCGTATGCTTCTCTGATCTTCACCTGTATCAATCCATGTATCCGGTTCTGGGAGGCCTCGAGTTGGAGTGTGGCTTTGTTGGGATAGTCTTCCAGCATCCACGCAACGAAAAGATTTTTCTTCGGCGATGCGTCTGCTCCAAGCTTCCCGCTCATCTGAGCAAAGACACTGTCGTCCACGAACGCGGCCAAAGCCTGGGGATCCAACTGGCTGGACATGTCCATCTGCAGCAGCACAGCAGTACACAGTCAGCAATGCGGCAGTAGTATCATGACGACGTTGGCAAGGGCGCGGGCATGCCTGCTAGTCCCGGTGGGCGGTGGCGCTACAGGACAAGGCTTGGAGGGGAAATGTGGAAATGGCCGGTTGGATTTTTCTTCCCTCAGTTTTGTACCAGAAACACGGTACCGCATCTACGTGATATACAGTGCGCGCCGAAATTATAACCGCACCCCAAAAATTATTTTTTTAAACCAATGATTGTGCTTTCGGCGCCAAACCGCTGCTTATGATTCGTCTAAAATCGATAGAAAACAGATGCAACAATCAGAATCGAAAAAGCTGTAACCGTTTTTTTGCAATGGACGAAAAACCGACTTTGGGTCGGGTCAAAATTATAGCCGCACCCGGTAAGCTATCGGTAAGATTGGTGGAGAGCTGTTTCAAGCGTAATAAATGAACTAACTCCATTGAACAGCTCGAATAACGCCTACCGGTACAGTAAAGTGCGTCGATAAGGAACGCCTGATATACATTGAAAGAAAAAGGTATATTGATAATTAAAGGTTTGACTCGTCACATGCAGACAGCAAATGCACTGATTTACTGCACTATGTAGTTCATGTCGGACTTCGCGACCAGAGTCTCGGCTTGAGCCCACGCAGCCAACTCAGCATAGGTAGCACCCGGTAGATCACGACGGCGATGACAGATTAGCAGCGACTGAAGCTTGGTCAGACGTAGCCGCCTCTCGAACGGTCTGGAAGTGGCGGTCACCATGGGAGTTGTGAGCAGCAGAGCGAAAGTTGGTTAATGAGGCATGCAGACATGTACCTGGCGCGATTCCCGCGCTCACAGCGATCCTCATGCTCATGATTCCCTCTCGCGACCTTTAGGTTCCATTTCCCCCGACTTGGGAGCCGCTCCATCCAGCCGCTCTTGAGGCTCGGTTTCGGAACTGTGATTGGCGGAATGTTAAACGGGACCGAATGATTGGTAGAATCATATAACTAATTCAGTAGAATTGGCACAATGGGTACAAGCGAGGATTCATGTCTTGTCGTAGAATATAAAATGTCGCCCGTTCCTTATCGACGCACTTCACTGTAGTAAGCTGCTCAAATAAGGTTAAGCTGACGCGGTTGATAAGATTCAATGGAGACACGCACTATCTTGAATTTGTATAGAAGAGTGGTGTTTGACAGTGTGGAGAGGTCTATACTCGTAAGTTGAGGCTGTCAGCTGACTAGTGTCTTCATTGGCGTCTATTCAACATGGTAGCGATGCTGGGCTTGCTCAGTTCAGCAACATGTACCAGAAAACTCGATCGATTTTTTTCCGGGTCAATACAAATCCTTTATACTTGATGTTTGTATTGGAAAGCACCGCCAAACCCAGTCACAAATTTCAATCAAGTCTAGTCCCGTACAGTGCGTAGTTTGGTAAATACATGGCTACGTATCAAAAGTAGAGTATTTCTTCTTGAAAATAATGCCCGAGTTTTGCTTCCAGAATCCTCCTAGTGTTGTCTCGGAAGTCCGGCCAAATTGCCACCAAGTGTTTAGTGCGCTTTATGGTATTAATAAATGTGCGAACAATAACTTCAGCGATGCGGTACATACCATAGGTAAGATACGACCACACGGGCCGCATCGGCCCCAGCCGGGCGGCGTCCTGCGCGCCGGCAAGAAGATCGTCACGCGCGAAGGACGCATGGAGCCCGTGCCGCCGCGCGCGCTCGAGACGAGCGAGATCCCGGGCATCGTGGCGGACTACCGCTCGGCCGCGGAGAACGCCATCAGCGCGGGCTTCGACGGCGTCGAGCTGCACGCCGCCAACGGCTACTTGCTGGAGCAGTTCCTGCACGACGGCATCAACGACCGCGCCGACCAGTACGGCGGCAGCGTCGAGAACCGCGCGCGTTTCCTGTTCGAGGCACTGGAGGCCATCCTCGAGAGTCCGGACTCGTCTAAGGTGGGCATCCGACTGTCCCCGTTCGGCGGCAGCTTCGGCGACAAGGACTCGGACCCCGTCGCCACCTACACGTACGTGCTGAACAGGCTCAACAACTACGACCTGGCCTACGCGCACCTGATCGAGCCGCGTGGCTACCACGTGCGTGACCCGCTGGCACCCGAGAAGGGCTCGGCGCGGCAGTTCCGCGAGACGTACAAGGGCGTGCTCCTCGCCGCGTCGGGCTTCGACCGGCAGTCGACCGTGCAGATCGTGGAGGAGGGCGCGGCCGACGCCGTGGCCATCGGCCGCCACTTCATCTCGAACCCGGACCTGGTGCGGCGCTTCCAACTCAACAAGCCCGTGAACGACTACGACACGGACACGTTCTACCTCGGCGACGCGCGCGGGTGCACGGACTATAATACCCGTTCCTGCAGGACGAGTAGGTAGAGCAGTAAAGACGACGTAGACAGCAAAAGACGTGCTACTTCCGTAAGACTGCAAGGTGAAGCGTACTGGAGGTGGCTGCGTACTCTCAAGTAAAACAAATTGTTGGTAGTTAAAACTAGTTGCTGCAGGCACCAGGCACGTACTGTTACTGCCTCGGTGTGGGCTTGGGCGTCTTGTTGGATCACTTGGCGCGTTTAGTGGGACGGCCTTCTTCACCCTCTTGGTTTTCACGTGCTCGTTTCTTGGATGTTTCCGTCTCGCCACCTTGATCGCCTAGTGGCCCTCACCACTGCCACCAACGTCACTCTCAGCGTCACTCTTCTTCCTTGTCACCCGGCGCGTACGCTAGTGCTTTACGGGCGTTCTGCAACAACTTGTCGCGCGTCGCGGTAAGCGACAACTTTGCATACGAACTAGCGTCTTCGTTCCGTTTTGCATCTTCATCGCGATAGTCCAGGTCGCCCTCCACAAGCCCCAGCGGGTCATACTGAGACTCCACCATGTTTGATAGAATGGAAGCCACGTCCTCGCTCAGGAACGGGTAGGTGACCCTGTTGAGTAAACGGAGGCAGATCGTGAAAACAGGATCCTCCTCCGAGACACTCGACACACTTGAGACGCCAGGATTGCTCTCGATCTTCGCCCGCTTCTTCGCCTGACTCCCGATCGTCTGACTCTCCTCCTTCACCTCAGAGGCGTTGCCTTTCTTCTTGGGCTTAAGATTGTCTTTCATTGTCGTGGCATAGATGAACTTGCCGTCACGCGTTCTACCGCGCACATTCATGTAGATGCGAATGGTATCACGGACATCCGTGGAGCTCAGCGGTTTCGGATGCCCACCAATTTCACCGGTAGATTTCCCCGCTGACGAGTTCCCATCACTGTTCTTTCCGAACACAAACCAGGGGCATAGTTTCTCCGTCGCTGCCCTGGAAAACCCACCATCGACTGGGGAACGATTCTTCACTTGAATCAACATCATCAACACTTCCTGCTCCTCTTGTTCACCCCTCGTTGTCTCCCCACCGACTGGCCTGCTGTTGGATCTCTTCTTAAACATCGGGATCAACAAATCGGCTCCATACTGGTTACGGGGGAAAATACCTGCAGCTTGACGCCCCAGCAAAAACCAAAGCGTGTCCTCATTCGGCTCAAGCTGCAACTGCACAAAGTGGGTGAACCCCATGTACCAACCCTCCCACTTCGAGCACCACTTGTTGAATTCTGGTCTCAAATTCTCCTTGCTGATCATCCGCTTGAGATATATCGGCAGCTTTTTCTTGCCTTGTAGCACCTTCAAGAATTGCTGCACCGGTACAAATTGCCCGATCGTATGGTAGCACTGGGAAAAATCTTTGTCCCCCATAACACACTTGTCCATCGCTAGAAGCAGCAGAATGCGAGCAACCATCTCGCCAATTTCGCCAACTCCACCAGTGTCCAACGCTTCATCCAAAAGGAGGTTCTTGAGTTGCGGCAGGATATACTTTGCCAGACCATATTTCAGTTCATACCACACTTTCATCGCTCCTAAGGCGAGCACTGGGTCCGAAGCGTAGCTGGTGACGTAACCCTCTCGTTTGAAGTTCACATACGCGAGAATCGCCATGAAGTCAGCGGGGGCCCGAGATGCCAAAGCCGACGTCGAATGCGGTCGAACACCCAGTCGATAAAGCATGGAGGCGACACCAAACATGGTATCCTTGTTGTACGCATTTTGCGAAGGGGGAATCCCCAGTAGCAGTTTATTCGCCGCGAGATCAATCACGCGAACTTTATGAGCTGGATCGGGGTAAGTGCTGTACCACATCGGGCGGCCCATGCGCCTCAACGCCTCCCAGGCCTGACCGTCACTTCCAGTTACGACGGTCTTGTACATGGCTATCTTAGCACGTTCTTGCTGTTTCGTTTTCTCTTCGTCTTCAGCTCCCACCGCAACTTGGGTTCCCTCGTTTATCTCTTCATCTTCAAAGTAGTCATCCCAGTGTGCGTCCATCGTATCAGCTAGTACAAGCGGCGCGAACGGTGCCAAACTACCTCCAGATTTCCGAGAAGATGGGTCCAACAACAGAGGCGGCGTCAGGTCCGAGATCTGCGAGTTCGTATCAATCAGCACGCCGAAAATGCCTCCTTCGGGGCCGATATCTTCGTTAGCGGATTTAAGAGCATTTCGCAACATACGAAAATCGTTCTTCTTGCCATCCACCTCAGCCAGCAGACTTCTCGCTTCATCGATCACCAGAACCACCATTTTGCCATCTGGATCCTTCACGGTGGAGGTACCCGTAGTTTGGATAAAGGTGTCCGGTACGGATGCTGAATCGGACGCCTTTATCATTTCTGTTTCTTTCAAAAGCTTGGCCGCACACGGAACTGTCAGTTGCATTGTCGATAAACAGCTCCAGCCATTCCGTCTGAACGTCCGCCCAATGATCTTTCGCATAGCAGTAAATCGCCTTCAATCGCCTGGCGACCTCTTGCACTGAGGAGGCGGCAGGGTCAAACAGCCAATCACGAAGCTTACTCGTAGCCTCCGGAAACCCCGTCGATCGGTGCACACGCGCGCACATGTACAAAACTTTCAGGTTCAAGTTCGGTTCTCGTTCTGCCTTGAGCGCAAGCTCACGCACTGTCCGACTCTTGCCGAAGCCGGAACTCTGCACAACCGCCACACATGGCGCCTTGTACTTTGCAGGGTTGTACTCTTTCCAGCAGTCCCGCAGGTATTCTGCGAGGTCGTCTTGGGCCTTGCCGACGTACGTGACTTTAGTGAACGCATCCGAGAGTCGGATCATTTCGTCTTCACCCAGCTTGGTGATGAGGGGGTTGTCTTCCGGAAAAAACTTTGCCAGGAGGTCTTTCACCGTCTTGACCGTAATGGTTTCCGCAAGATCGACCGTCACGTCTGGGTACTCGTATACGATTCTGATCTTCACCTCCAAGCATCCCTTAAATTCTTTCTGAGAGACCCGGAGTCCCGCGTCGCGATATTTTTTCAAATACTCATCGATGCGAAGAGGCTTCTTCTCCAGTGCTCCCTCGTTGCCTTCCTTCGCGTCCCCCAGTTTCGCGCTCAACTGAGTGAAGACGCTGTCGTCCACGAATGCGGCTATCTCCTCGACTCCAGGCTGGAGATCCGACTGGCTCGCCATGTAGTGTTGCGGTTTGGCGACTTCTCTTTAATGTAGACCACATATTCGCTTTAATTGGACATAATCACTATGTAGTTTCTGTTTTTATTGGACAAAAGTATTTAGGCGCACATCTCGCCAGGTTTATTATAATAACACATATTGTACTTTTTGGCACTTCAGACTGTATTTGTGCTTTGCAATGATTTTGGCAATATGAGGCGAGATTTGCTGTATTATTACGACCACCTGCTAGATTTACGATAAATCGAGGTGCATAAATGGGTGGAGGCCTAGAATTACGCTAAAAGCGCCACAATTGCACTTTCAAAAGTGCAATTGTGGCTGTGCAGCTGCAATTCTGTCGGTTTTTATCCACAAGCACCTACACACACGGCAATTATGCATAAGAGGGTGGATGTGCTGGGGATCATGGACGGTGGTGTACTGGGCCAATGCATGGCTGCTGACAGGCCCTCCCGAGTCGATATATATATGAGGAGGTGGATTTATGCATAATTTTAGCAGGCCGTGTATCTTCTTTCACACATATTTAGGAGCAGGCTTTGCCATATTTAGCGTCTAAAATGGTCGGCAAAATAACTGCAAAGCACAATAACTCGTACGACTTATCGAGCACGACTATAAATCGTACTCGAGTACGAATTGCTGTAAGTCGTGGATGGTCAATCACTTGTGTCGAGCATTCGTAAGACAGTTTGACGACAAATCAAATGTAGCAATTTCATTGGTTAATATTGTATTATGTAGTTTTGAGTGTTGCTGCATCTCGGCTCGTAAATTGGACTGATTCATCTGTGTGCGCATTTTGCCCCCTTTACTAGAGGCAGCGCACTTGAAAAATGTCCGGGCTTTTGATCCTGACGCCATGCACTAACCTCCTGCTAGAAGATTTAAATATACTTGCCAGGAATGGAATGTAAGGACATCATAGCACAGTTATCATACGACCGTTTGTTCCCGTAGTGGAGCAATGTTTCTTCGCTTTACTGGGGTGAACGACTGTTGTCGTTCACCCCACCACGCCAACTCTCCTTTCTACAGTAAAGTACTAACACTACATAGAAGATGGAGATTCGGATAGAGGGCGCATACGCAAACCAGTCTACGCTGTAGCATCGACAAAAAGCGTGGCTGCAGGCAGTGGCTTAGTTGCAGGAGATACCGAGTAACTCGCCGATGCCGAAGGTCGAGCCCAGCAGCGATATGGCGCGCGCCGAGCGCCCGCGCAGCAGTGTGGAGCTCCTCCGCACCTCAGCGTCGTAGGTACAATATCTAGGTATTATCACCGTTGCAGAGTACGTGGTTGCATTTTGTTGCTGGACTGTAATGATTAGGTAAGAGGGGGTCGGAGGATCTCGGGAAGCCCACTGGCAACACCGTTCCCTGGCTGCCTCGCCTTCACAACTACTATGATGTACGCTCAAGCATAAAAATTACTACATTAAAATGTACATGTAGTACCGTTACGAGCTATTTGTCCCTCTTAGTCTACGTCTACAAACTTCATCGTAACTCCGTGCCCTTCAACGGCTGCACCTCTGAGTGGAACAGCTCCACGGACTGCATGCACGCGTTCGTGCAGTCATTATGCCGATATTTAAGCTTGCTGCCAGCGGCCAACTACAGGCACATCGCTTCGTGTGTGAACAGGAGGCTACTTTCCCTACCGCATCATGCAACTGCATCGTTTCGGCGCTCAACGTTGCCACCGCGTCCGCGGCAACGATGCCGCTGTCGTGGCGAGCAGACCTGAACATTTTTGGCCAATTGTATGGCGCAAACTAGTGTCCGACAAACTGTCTTATGTTTTGACAGACAATATGCAATGTAGCCACTGGTATACAACAACCAAGATGTAGTCAAAACGCGTTGATCGGAAAACGTAAGACGCTTTGTCTTATGATAGGCATTCTGGGGCTAAGTATCGTCTTACGAAAGAGTATGAATCAGCACTAGGAGCATCTCCACCGGTCGTGAGTAAAACTAAATTTTACCCCTTTTCTGTCAATATTTAATCATAGTTTTAGTTTTGTACAGCTCCACCGGTTTGAGTAAATGCTGAGCAAATTGCTCCATTTTTTTTACGCAGATCAAAGTTTTGCACAAGTTTGCCAACGGAGGAGGCTTTGAGTAAAAGGTTGAGTACATGTAAATGTCGACCGACCAGTAGTAGGGCCAAGTCAAGCGTTCTAAGCAGCGCAAGCGTCACAGACCGCAGTGTCGCCCTTGCTACGTCATCCCTGGGTCTTCCTCAACGTGCTGTCGGGCCCTTTATAGGGCTATACAGCTGTGCGCCGTCGCCATGGCTGGCGCCGAACCAAGAGCTTTAACGCGCTTGCTGCGAGTCTCAATTGCCGGTGGAGCTGCGCACTGTCTTTAGCACGGTTGTGCCGTTGTAGGCACGGATCTTAGGGCAATTTGCTTTTAGTTTTACTCAGCACCGGTGGAGATGCCCTAATAAGTAGTGCGCATATGGAGGAATTAAGTAATTCAAGTAGATTGAAGCATTTTTGTAAAAGTCTAAGTAGGTGAATGCATCAACTTGCAAGTAGATTGCCACAATCAAAAATAACGTTTTATCAGAACTTGAAAACGCGATAAGAATTAAGGACAGGGTAAGATATGAAGATGATGGAGGACGAGCAAACGGAACATCAGCGATAACAAAATAAGTAGGTGCCTCATTATTGAAAACATCATGGTGCCAACTGCCCCCTGTGCAACACCAACTGGGTTGTCTCAAGTCTGCGGCAGCTCGTTGGCAAGCGTGCGTGCCTGGAAAAGCGGTACCCGATCCTAAAGGCTCAGCGACTGGAAAAGGCCCGAGCCTACAAGCGCGAGCACGATAAGCTGTACCACCGCGCTCGCCGTGACGCGCTTAACGAGCTTGACCTGCGTATCATCACTACGGCCGCAGGTGACGTGACCACGACTGTTGTTGAGTCGCTCGTCCTGTCTGTGCCTGGGGACATTGAGTTAGGGGGTTCAACAACAGCTCAGAGCTCACCTCCCCGCTCTGCTCGACGACGTCGTGTTTTCTCGGCACCAGCTCCCCCAACGGTGATCGACATTACGGGGGAGGAGGACCAAGACGAGGACCTATCAACTTGCGCCATTTGCTAGTACGCGCCAGTGGCGCCGGTCACCCCGCGCTCATGCTGACATGCCATGTGTGCCGAGTGCATGTCAATGTACGTGGCGAGAAGCATTCAGGCCGAAAATGTAGCTAACTGCCCTACGTGTAGAGTTCCCATTCGGATGTAGCCATCCGGCTAGCCATACAGCTTTATTTTCTTCATTTTTGAGTAATTAAAAATATTTTTTTCACTTTATTTTGATGAAATGGTCTAAGCAGCAAATGATAATAAATTTGTTGTATATACTTCTTTCATTTACATTGCGTCAGTATCAATAATAGCGCACAAGAACGAGTTGTATTACTGGGAAGTAAAGTCGTACGATCGTGCGAATTGTTGCTATGGAATACCAATTTTCGTCAAGTCACAGTAAGCATCAAAGTAACACATTCGTACGATATTACAGATATAATATCTTTCACTTAAGTTTATCCTTGCAGTATATTATCTATCCTTGAACTATCACGTGTATAATACTTTCCTTCGATCCAAGTTGTATTAAAGGTAAATAAGAATTTTATGATATCATTTTCGTACGAGAAGAATTTTAAGAAAACCAAGGTCCGTTCTCGACGTATTGACACTAAGAATTCGAAATGTAATTTTTGCTTTGTTATGCTTTTGCAAAGACTTACGACTCTACTGCATACGTCTTGCAGCTCTAGTATTATTGAGTCATAGCAATGGCAGGCGACGCCGCAGAACCTGGTCGTGCAGACCTGCGTTTGTTCTTCGGCTTTGGACCCGGCTTCATGCCACGCTTCCCTAAGTCAGCTTCAGTGACGATGACTTCAGGTACTAGCAGTTGAAGATCCTGAGCGATGGTCGCCGAGCGGACGGTCGGGACAAACTGGTAGTAATATGTCCACCGCGCGACCGACACGGTGTGTTCCTTCCAGGCGAAAAGCTCGCTCACGTGCATTCCGTGATGAATTGCAGCTTTGACTGCATGGACACACGGGAACATCAGGTCTTGCCAGCGTCGGCACGTTGCATTCCTTCTCGATCAAGTTCACGGTTCGCCACAGATGGGCGTGGTCCGGTCTGCTGCTGATGTCCGTGAATCGCACCATGTACTGGCCATCAAGGCACGGCAAAATCTGCAGGGTTTTCGTAAGAGCCATGATCCCGTCGAGCTTCTTCTTGTAGGTGGGAAGGAGAAAGTCCGAGAAGGCTGCAGGGGTGGTCCTCATTACGTCAATTTCGCAATCGTCGTACGGCTCACCTTGGGAGGTGCTTGCGTGTCCTGCGTTGCTACCTGGACCCTTCTGTCGCGAGGAGGTGCGGCGCCTTTCGGCGAACAGCTCAAACACCTTGACGAAGTATTGCTCGAAAGCTTCCAAGGGGTAGGACGACCGCACTGCATTGCCCAACCAACTGTTCGCTGCCTCGGACAGGTTGGAAGTGACCTCGTCATAAGAGGGTTGGTTGTACTTCTCGTTGAACGCGTATGTCACCCAGTGCGACTTGTCAATTCCAGCGAGATACTCCACAGCCAAAGGGCGAGTCTCCGAGAGTTTTGAGCTGTAAAACTTGTAGTCGTTCTCGCATTCGCTACGTGCCATCTGAAACACAAGTGACTGTTCTGCCGGCGTCAGCGCGGAGCCCTTCTTCTCGATGTTGGTGATAATGTGCCCAACGCAAAATCGATGTCCGGAATCCGGATACAACTCCGTCACAGACGCCAGGAGACCCTTCTGTCTGTCCGATACGAACACAGGTTTCCACGCCGAGACGTCTTGAAGCGCGTCTTTCATGTTCTGCAGGAACCAGCTCCAATGAGTAATCCTCTTGATCGACAATAGCGAGTCCGAAAACTAGGATGTGGATGTGGTGTAGCGGGATCGGCCAAAATCTGGTGAAGATCGAATGTATTGGCGTGACGCGGGGATAGGTTGTGGAGCAGCGCGGGAATCTTCGCTCTGCGTCCGAGTATACGCTCCGATCGAGGGTTGTTCGCTCCGATCGGTCGGCCTGGAGTCGATCCACGGCCTGTAGTTGCCTTTCCGGGTGTGTTCCTTCCTTTCGTGAGTTGCTTGCCGCTTCCTATAGCGGGATCGAGGTTGATCGAGAGGAGAAACGATCGCCGGCCAAGCAGTATCCGGTCGATCGAGGGTTCGCACACAAGAAATAGATCGCTAGAGTAGGTCAAGCTGGCCAATGTATTAATCCAGTCTTAACCGTACCACTAGCTCACTGTTCAAAGTGTCGATGCTTGCCGAGGCCAATGTAGTTCCTGGGACTTGACGACTTGAGGGGACTTGTGCTCTTCGGTGCAAACTCTGCTCTGATTTATGTTTAGCTGGTGTCTCGCTACCACTACCATCTCACCTACCATCCTACAACTAAACAACTACTGGATTCTTGTCCTGGCTTCGCCCCCATGTGCTCCCCATCTTGGCTGATCGGCGATCGACGATCGACGATCCACAGCTCTCGATCGCGATCAGTCCACTTCGGTCTTTAGCCGTCCCACTCTACGATGTCGCTCGTTGATCTTGCCCTCGTGCATGACGTCCTTCGCTTTCGACATGCGCCCTTCGCACCGCGCCTCTTCGATCGGTGTGGGACGAGGCATCACCACTCTCCATGTGTCGATCAGCTTTGATCTACCTGGTTCCACACCCCGCCTACGTGCGAGTATCATCCCGGTGCCTCGATCGCTCGTCGAATCTCCTCGATCTCCGCAATCCCAGTCTTGTTCAGGTCGCCCTTCTCTCGATCATTGATCCCCTTGATTTTTGGTCGATCGTTTATGCCGCCTTTCTCAGAGAACAAATCTTGTTCTCGCGCTTCTCCACATGGCCTTTTAGGTCCTTCGTGGTCGCCAACAGAAACACTCCGCGCTTGTTCATATCACCCTTGAGATGTGTTCCGTCCAGACCGATGACGTGTCGGCAGTGTACTTGAAGGCATGCCCCTAGAAAAACGCAAGCCCTTCTGAACATGTCATTCTCGCGCCTGCCAAACCCGTAGCTTGTCTTGGAGTTCGCATCACTCACCATGGCTAGATATCCCTCCAGCTTCTGGTAACTCCCGACGACGTCGTCGCGCAGCGATTCGAGAAGATCCCGCTTGATCTTGGATGCCGCAGTTCGGCTCGTTATCATCCCCTTAGTCATCAAAAAGTCGATGATAGCCCGCCCTGTGCCCGAGGCCCACGTTCCGCTGTAAGAGGGGAGCAACTCACGCTCAACGACGCCCCTCATCACTCGGTAGGGCACATCGCGAAGTCGCTGACGAGAGGTATCTCCTGCGAGACCGCCTTCAACAAAGGTATCGCCCTGAAAACCGCCGTGTCTGAAGTGGTCATGGGCCAGACACATCCTTGTTATATTCCAGTTGTTGCGGATCCCATACACCGTAATGAAAAATGGGCAGTTGACAGTGCTGCCTGGAATGAGCTGCTGCTGCCCTTTCACCGCCTTGCAAGTGTACTTGGCGTTTCCTTCTTGACGACGAGAGTGATAGCTGTTGTTGGCCACGCGAATGGAAAAGCCACGGGCTCGAGCAAACTCGCGACAGCGTTGCAGCAGAGCCTTTTTCGTCTCAAGCGTCGCAGACGCAACGTTGTTCCCATGGTCGGAAACTACGCCGTAAGAAGAGGGGTCGAGGGGATCCAAGCCGACATCTAGCTCAGGTCGTAGCATGCGCATCTCGATGACTTCGGCGATGTCCGCTTCTTCGACAGCGGATGAGGTGATCATGGGCGAAGACATTGTCCGGGTGACCGAAACAGGAGAGGTGGTAGAGGTGCTGAGGCGTGTAGTTGGGTGGGTATCCGACAAAAAGACGAATGAGCCCTGCAGTGAAAACTCGCGAGCTAAGAGAACACGGGCTAAACGAGGTGGTTATGAAACTCCTACAGAGATGTGTTGCTAATCTCCGGCCCAAGATACTGAAAAAAAGTATGAACGTCCGTTTCAAAATGTACGACAAGAAGCTCAGAATACCGCGAAGTGAGATGCTCGGAATGCCCGTCCGTTTTAAAACTTACGAGTCGTAAGTTATTGCTGTCGTACGTTACAATAAACGTAAGAGTACTTAACAGAGGCGTGCCTGCTCAGAATGCCCGTCCGTTTTAAAACTTACGAGTCGTAGGTTGTTGCTTTCAGACTTTTCAACAAACCCAACTGTACTTATCAGGCGCGCGACCGACGAAGTTTTAATACAGAACCAAGTGCGTTAGTTTGGTCTGCGTGCATACAATTCTACGAAGCGATGATGTAAACTTACACATTAGCATTACGACACTCTTACTCTAAAAAGGTAATTTCGTACGATATTACTTGGCCCTGGAAAACAGTTATTTTTGCCCATAAAATTAACGTTCAATTCGGATATGATAAAACGTTATTTTTGACTGTGGCAATCTACTTGCAAATTGATGCATTCACCTACTTAGACTTTTACAAAAAGGCTTCAATCTACTTGAAACTTAATTCCTCGCGCGTATGTCATCTCCTGCATGATTTAGCACATCCAGCATGGATTAGCATCCTTTTGGCACTTTCCGAAAGTGCCATTTCCGAGCCAAGCTGGCTTCGAAACACGACTCCAAAGCCACTATGATTTACCACTAAGTACGAACACTATCTAGTGCACTAATTAGGAGGGAAAACCGGTTGCAAAGCACAATATCATAGAGCACATATATATCATAGAGCACACTTTCGATTATCCAATGAAAGCCATATAATTCACACTTGAAATAAGACATTCAATCTCGGAGCCTGATAGCCGCGCTCGTTGCGTTACGCCATTTTGAATGGCGCGAACAGGTAGAACGCGCTTAAAAAGTGAAGGTGACGCGCGGCCAAAGCAGTACGAGCGCTCGTTGCGATTACTTAAGTACGTACGAGTTCAAGCTGTGTGTGCTTCGATTCCTAGACACTACACCGATGGCAAAAACGGTAGCTAACGGAAAACGCCAATTTGTATACCGCATACTATTGAATTGAACACTTGTCAAATCTAGAAAGATAT